CCCAGGCTTGAGTGCAGTGGCACGTTCTCAACTCACTGCAACCTCCGCCTCCCAGATTTGAGCCATTTTCCTCCCTCAGCCTCCTGAGTAGCTGAGATTACACGCGCCCACCACCACGCCTGGCTAATTTTTGTATTTTTAGTAGAGACGGGGTTTCGCCATCATGGCCAGTCTGGTCTCGAGCTCCTGGCCTCACAAGATCCACCCACCTTGGCCTCCCAAAGTGCTGGGATTATAGGCGTGAACCACCATGCCTGGCAGGCTCTTTATTTAATAGACTCTCTTTTCCTGCTGTCACTGTCTACAGGGAGAACCCGGATGGCAGTCCTCTGGGTTCTTCCAGCTCAAAGGTCTATGATTTCACGTTGTTCTATGAACCAGGTTCTTTGTTCCTGAGACCGTCTGCAGCAGGTGGTGAGAATTTTAAGAGGCAGAATAATAATAATAATAATAATAATAAATGTTCAGTGTTTTACTGTAGCAGGACAATTGGTAGAGGGAAGGCTGAGGTTTATGGAATTAAATTTTCATGTATACACAGGAGAGTATGCTTGGCTTTCAAAGCATTTCACTTACCACTAGGGAGGGATTTAGAAGCCCTTGCTCCATCAGTGACTATTGAAATTTATGTTTACATGAAGCTGTCAGTCCCTGAACATCTGAAGACATTATTATTTTTACAAACTTTTAATTTTATGTGGGTACATAGGTGTATATGTTACGGGGTACATGCTATGTTTTGATATAGGCATGCAATGGGTAATGGTCACATCATGGGAATAAAGAAATAATTTTTTATAAATAGTCTAATTAATAATAAACTAGTTATGATAAAAGGAAGCATTATAGGCAAAATATGATTTTAAATTAATGCTGGAGCAGATTACCTTACATGGTAACATTTCAGTGGATTAATTTTTACGTATAACCTTGAGATACATAAGAAAAGATTATGGAGATAGACAATATAATATTTTTAGTAGGCCCGGTGTTTATTTGAAATTCTGAAAGGGTTTGAAATTCTGAGATTGGAGAAGCATTACTAATGCATATCTCTATTGCCATGTCAATAGGTCCCCAAAGATATTGCTTTAAAAATAAATTAATCAGATCACAAAGGAATTCATAGTCATTATAGGAAATTGGGAAAATGTAGAAAAAACTAGATTAAAAAATCCTAAATTATATCACTATTACTAATATTTGGTGGTATTGATTTCCTGTCATTGCTCCTTGTATATTTATTTTATTTTAATATTCAAAGGAGATTATTCTGTACACACTAACCCATAATAACATTTTTCACCTAACAATAGCTTGTGACTATTTCCCCATGTTATTTATTATGTCATTTTCAACATTGCACATCCCATCATCACAATATAGCCACCAATTCTTGTTGTGAAACATTTAGAATCTTTTCAAATCTTTACCATTATAAACAGTTCTGAGATAAGTATCTTTGTAGTTAAATGTTTTCCCACATCCATGATTAGACAATGATTTAAAAAATAAACAGACCCAAACTGTGGCATCTAACAGGAGTAGTATATAGAAAGCAGAAATAAAAATGCAAATTCACTAGTAAGAGCAGACAGCAACTAGCCACCATATAGAAAGGAAACACTGGTTTTTATATGAGACAGACCTGTAACTCAGAGTGACACCAAGTAACTCAAAATGTGGTCTTTCGATGGGGTTTTTGCTCTCATGCAAAGCCCAGCATTATGAGTAATGGTTACTTTCAGATGACATTTCATATTTCCTGCCCCACCCTCTCGGCACATGGCAAGGCAGCTTTTCCTGTGCCTATCTCAGGGAGCATGCTATAAGTGGCCATGCGCCTTATGGAGGGGACTTAGCCTCCTGAGGGCCATCTTGGAGTCAGCTGGGATTAACCATGCTCTGCTTATCAGCCTTCCTCTATATTTGCCTCATTTATCCACCATGATTTGATTTTGCATTTGCCCCCTTGGGCATGACTTGTCCCAATGGGAGCCCTGTATCTCCTCTGTGATTCTTATTATTTATTTATTTATTTATTTATTTATTTATTTATTTATTTATTTTTTGAGACAGAGTCTTGCTCTGTTTCCCAGGCTGTAGTGCAGGGTGCGATCTTGGCACCGAGTGATGCAAGCTCCACCTCCTGGGGTTCAAGCGATTCTCCTGCCTCAGCCTTCCAAGTATCTGGGACTACAGGTGTACACCACCATACCCGGCTAATTTTTTGTATTTTTAGTAGAGACAGGGTTTCGCCATGTTGCCCAGGCTGGTCTTAAACTCCTGGCCTCAAGTGATCACCAGCTTTGGCCTCTCTAAGGGCTGGGATTACAGGCGTGAGCCACCACGCCTAGCCTCTGTGATTCTTGTTTTACAATTTCTACTGTTGTTGCAGAAACATTTCAAAGCCCTTCAAATTTAAAGTAACCTAAACTTGGATAAAGTTCCAAGTTTTTCCAGGAGATGTGAGTGTAAACTTCAGTATCAACATTTTTCATGATCGCCCTATTGAGGCCTCTCCATAGATCCTGCTGTGGTGGTTGTTTGGGGTGGGGAACGTCCGAGCAGATGCCCTGAGAATTCCCTAGGTCCCATCCTTCTGGAGCTCCAGTGATTCAGCAGTGGGAACTACAGGGCTGGGTAGGACCCAGAGGGGAGGGGAGGCTGCAACAGGAAGAAATGCTTCTCACTTTTAGCACGAGAGCCACTTTGCTTGCCAATGGACTCTATCCACCTCACCATGGCAGCCTTAACAGCCTCTGGTTTTCTAACTCCTTTGCTGCTGTCCCCTGCATGATCTGTCCTCCTGCAGTCCCCGCCACACACACAGCATACTTATCTCCAACCCACACATGATGATTCGCCTTGGTTTCTGCATGGTTGTCCGGGATGCCTCAGTCTCCACAATGCCCAAGTTGTCATAGCAACACACTGCAAGGAATGGCCTCCACCTCCTCACTGAATTCATCACTTCCCCATCTGCCCTGCCAGTGATGATTTCTGTGAACTATTTTACATGAGTCAGCTCCTGTTCTCTAATCCCCAACATCTTTCTTTTCTCATAGGTATTTTGGGGTGGTTTCTCTGGAAAAAATGTTGATTCCCTTTGCCTCTGACAAAGTGTTAGAGTAACATTTTGAGCACATTCCACATGCCAGGCCTCATAGCAAACCTATTACACGGTTTATCTCATTTGCTGTTGGCAACAATATTATGAGATAAGTATCATTATGGTGCCAAATTTATAGATAAAGACATTTTAGGTTGAAGAAGTTCAATAATTTTCACAAAATTGTGTTCTCTAAATTTTAGAACTGGACTATGAACACAGAGCCTGGCTCTGGCCACATTGACATTAATCTAGTACATTCTACAATAAAATGACTTTCCTGCTTGTGATTGAAATATAATATTCTATTAGTGACACTGACTTCAAAATGCCATTCTATAAAATCATTGAGTATAGTTCTCAAAAATTTAACGATCATCTTTTCATTGACTAGAATTTTTATTCTGTAGAAAGAATAGGGGATTCTCTACTACATCTAAAATTTCTCCTCACAGCAGATGAATTATTTCAATTACATATTAAGCTCTAAAGAATAGAGATTTTTTGGAATTTGCAAAGATTTATAATTGGAAATGGGCCAAGTTATTCTCCAGAAGTTTCTCCATGCTTTAATGATATCATCCTAAAGAAACTCTTGAGTTGCTTTTTCTACATGGACTATATTTAATTCTTAAAATTGATCTATAAAAAATAATTTTCTTCCAGAAAACCTTCCAGGAAATAAAAGAAACAATATTTACAAACAGTATGAATTAGATGTCAATCTAAAACAGAAAAGCTGAGTTTTAATTGTCACTCACTGAGATTCTAAAATGAGTTTGGGGCTGGGCATGGTGGCTCACACTTGTAATTCCAGCTCTTTGGGAAGCCGAGGTGTGCAGATTGCTTGAGCCCAGGATTTCGAGGCCAGCCTGGGCAACATGGCGAAACTCCGTCTCTACAAAAAATAAAAAATAGCTGGGCGTGGTAGTGCATGCCTGTAGTTTCAGCCACCAGAAGGCTTAGGCAGGAGGATGGCTTGTGCCTGGGAGGGTGAGGCTACAGTGAACCTTATTGCACCACTGCACTCCAGCCTGTGCAACAGAGCAAGATCCTGTCTCAGACAAACAAACAGAAAAATAGTTAAGAAAAAAATTAATCTCGACATCCCAAGCTCATATATATAATTAATTAAAATTTTAATTTATTACAGTTTTAAATTTGTAGCCATAAAACAATTTAGCAAGCAAGGCACTTAAAAGGCATATTTTTGTTCTTGGAGATCCTGCAATTCATAAAGTTGACTTCTACTGAGGGGACAGGTGGAGTGGAATGCGTGGGTCTCTGCTCACTTAGAACTTGACTTGCAGTGACTCCTAAGTACCCTCAATCTTACAAAAAAATTGGATCTCTATCAGTGATTGACCACACTTGGTGTCTTCAGTTTTATATCCTACCCTTTGTTATGGGTCCTTCCTATTTAGAAGTCCACGGATCATTTCCTATTGCAACTGGAGTCTGAATTCACTAATGGTATTGTAAACTACGTGCCAAATTATCAAACCCGCACAAAGGAAGTAGATAGAAACTGGTTAAGTGTGGCTCAGGCAAGAGATTTCCTTCCTCTCTGAGTGTGTCAAGAGGAGTTGAGATATTTTGGGGTAGGGTGGGGGTGGGGGGACCTAAGCCACGAAAATCCTAAATGAATAATCTCCTTAAGAGAATAACAAAAGATTTCACCGAGGAAGGTTTTGTAATACACACATCTCCACATCTGAAGATACATTTAATGGCCAATTTGAAAATGTAAGCATTATTTTAGTAATTTAGAAAAATACCCGTAAACATAGTACAGAAATTAGATCTGCATATTCAAGGTGAGAATCACAATCTTTCTTAGGTTTTACTAGTTTCCTTTCTGTAACTCAGAACTTCAAGTATTGCTCACTCTGAGTAGATCTTTAGGCTCTCCAAAAGCAGGGCCACTGCAGCGTGCTTGTCAGTAGTTGCAATGAGTCACAGCTGGAACGTCCTGTGGTTAACATTCTGCTCTGAAAACAGAATCAGAATCCGTGAGACGGGTTTCCATGGTAACCTGTATTTGTATACTTTGAAAAATGCCTGTTCCTTTTTGTGTGGTTTTGGGTGGTCAATTTGTGCGAGAATGAATTGTAGAGGTGACATTACCCATCTGTGTGAATATAAACAAAAAACCTGATTTTATTAACTACAAACTTTAAAAAATGAGTTATGAGTTTTTTTTTTCCTCTTCGAGACATTGTTCTATGCATTTATTTATTACTTGATTGGGCATTATATTTAAGCATTTTCATAAATGTCTATTTGATGTTTATTTTAATGCATAATTTTCTCCCCTTCAAAGGCAAAAATAAAAGAATTGTCATTCAACGGTGTTGCCCCCCAAACCTACTGCCTAACCCCTCCACCCCCACCCAGTACTTTTACAATGTGTTATAAAAGACCACTGAACAGCTGAGATTCAGGGGTCTCCTTCAATGCATAATCCCATCCGGAAGGAAGGAAGGAAAAAAAAAATCCCTCTAAGTCATGTGAAAATGCCACGTCTCTTAACCTTGCAGAGCTGAGAGGCAAAAATGCTATGTTGTTCATGACCTTGTGCAGAATTGAAATATGATTCGTCAACATGTTGTGACCTAGTATTCCGTAAGGCCCATCGAGCTTAAGGTGATTGTAGTTATGGAGAAATCTTATGTTTTGTTGGATAAGGGTTATGATGGCTTAGCTTGGCTCGGAGGCCTGATAAAAATGAAATAATTTATGCTGTGGTCACTAAATTACAATCCGAAGGTTAAGATTTTGGGGGTGGAAGACGGTAGAGCATTGGCTTGCTAATTACTCCACTACTTGGGAGCAGTATGTTTGTTTCTGTGCTAATTAGTTTAGAACTGGACTTCATGCCCTAGAATTAAGAAAAACTCTAAAGCTGAGATGAATCTCCTGCAGGGAAGCAGGGATTTAGAAGCACAGACTGCAAGATTGGCCTCTTGCCCTCCCGTTTCTCCGGCTGCATGAGAGGGTGGGACTGAGCACTAAGGTGAAAAGCTTCTGTTCTGTTTCGTTTCCCTCTTCTTTTTATGTTGCTTTATTCTTCTCTCATTCTCCCCTCTTCATTGTAGGGGAGCTTTCTGATAAATGTGTAGAATATTAGAAACTTGATAATAAATATACACATTCAAAGCAGCGTATGAAAAACAGAAAAAAAAAAGGGAAGCTACAGCAATAAACCTGAAAAATAAAACTTATCTTTATTCATTTGCTTAAAATGCTTAGGTTTAGTACTTCGGGGTGTATCACATAATGGACTTCTGAGCTTGTCTTTTTAAAAATCTCTGCCGACTTCCCTGAAACCTCACAAGCACGTATGATGAGCAGCCGATTTGAGAACTCAACGAGACAGGTCAAGGTTTATAAATCTGCAATTTATCCTGACCTTGAACAAGGCCCTTGCCTGGTTCTCCCTTCTACTGAGTGGCACAAAGGATCCAAATCCTTTATGGTCTAAGAGGAGCCTGTTGAAATTGAGGATTGTATGGTATTACTACCTATCTAACTATACAGAGTGCAAGTAATCGTGCAGATTGGGTCCTAGTAAAATAGATACAGCTGGTGGGGGAATCACTGGGTTCATTCATTGGAGATGCATGGGGAAGCTACCTTTATCAAAGGCCTGCTCTGGGCAGTGAGGGGAAGGCCAGAGGTGGTCTGTGCTTTAAGGCAACTCACAATCCGTAGGGGAGGTAAGACACACAAGCCCATAACAAGAATGCCTGGGGATGTGACCATTTCCACAAAAGAAGCACAGATGAAAAGCTAAGGACTTTCAAAGGCAGACTGATTAATGCCTGACTGCAGGGATTAGGGGCGGCTCCATGGAGGTGCTTTGTAACATTTGGTGGTAAAGTTCTCCACACTCAAATCAATATGTTTCAAACAATATTTCATGTCATAACATTTTGTTCAATGAAAATAATTTGTCAGTCTGGAATTTATTGAATCCAGATTATACATTTATGCACGGATATGTGCAAACACACAGACATTCACATATACTCTTAAGTAGATGTACTCTCCAAGGGAATCCTCAAGGAAATCCATGAGTCCATTGCCAGGTATTTTCTGTTTCACTGGCATGGGCAGCTTATCCCAAGGGTAACTGGAACAAAGTGTTTAAAGGGAACATGAAGGCGATTGGGTGAAAACGTAATGGCCTGAGTCCCGAGGAAGCCAGTCTTGTTGGATTGCCGTTACCTTTCTCAAATGAAGAGATATAGTAGAGAGGCTTTCAATTTTTATTTTTCAGTTTGGAGATATACAGCTGATAAAATCATTAAATGAGGTAGGTTAAGGGGACACAACCTTGCACCCTCCATTTCTCCTTGAGGATGTATAAATACCTCAATGGAAAATTGGGCAAAGACATCAGTAAACAATTTCCAAGAGAAGAAATCTAAATGCCCCTAAACATGAAAAAAAAAAAATCCTTCAATGTCAAAGTAATCAAAATAACAAAAATTAGGACAATTACCAAAGAGCAATTTTTCACTACCAGTACTAGTTTAAAATGTGATCGTCATCATAATTGACAAAGCTCTGCTGAAAGAAACACCTTTGTTAACTGCTTGTGGGAGGATAAGTTGGTATAAACTTTCTGGTAAGAAATTTAATAATATTTTATAAAGAGCCATATGATTATACTGTTTGTTATTCCCTTTCTAGGAATCGTTTAAAAGAAACATTTAAAGTATCAAACAGCTATTTATATCAGCAAAAGATTGGAAATATCCTATATGAAACAACAATAGAATTATAATATAAATACATTATATTTGTGGCATTTTATGCCGAGGTTTACACAGACAATTTAGTGATATGTTCAATGAAAAACAAGAAACACAATTAAATACGTAGCTCAAATGTATAAACACATATATACACCTGCACAAATAGGTATATTACACGTATATACAAATGAAAAAAGTATCAAGAGAAATTTTTGAATTTAATGAAATATTAACAGTGTTTGTCTTTAGTCGAATCAATGTTTGTATTTTCCTTTTTCATACATTTCTAAAATGTTTGATTATTTTACAGGTAGCATTTATTTTAAAAATTATATCTTGAGGGGATGGCTACCCCATTTTCTATGACATGATTATTACACATTGTATTACTGTGTCAAAGTATCTCATGTACCCTATAAATATATACACCTACTATGTACCCATAAACATTTTTAAATATTTTAAAATTATATCTTACAATTATAATAGCTGCTATTCATTGAGCCCCGCTATGTGTTGTTAATATGTGAATGCCTACTATTTCCCTATTCTGAGCCTGACTTATACTTTGGACTTGATATGTTGACATAAAACCAAAAGTTACTAGTTGGGTTTCCAAATTTATTGGGCTTAGGAAGCAGATCCATCTCTAAAACCCTCTCTATGCAATTTTCAATTTTTAATTCTTATGTTGAGTTCTGTGTACTTGACCCACCTCAGCAGATTTATCTCAGGAACAGCTTTTGCTACTTGGGTAGACTTGGCTTTTTCCATCCAACAAACCATGTGTTTTTACATGGGGAAGTTTCTCTTCTATTTCAGCTCTATGATGGACCACGGTGGATGGGACGCTACTGTGGAGTAGACCTGCCCCCTCCAGGGAGTACTACAAGCTCCAAGCTTCAAGTACTGCTCCTTACAGATGGGGTTGGCCGCCATGAGAAAGGATTTCAGATGCAGTGGTTTGTTTATGGTAAGCCGGGTGCTGATCTCAGTTGTATTTGCAGTTGCTATTTGACCAATAATTTTTTCTTTTTCAGTTCCAAACTTAGAAACAATACCATGAACAAATAATGGAACCCAGGTAGTAATCTCATGCAAGAGTTTAAGAAATATACTTAGACACTGATGGAACTTGGAGAGTTAAGTCTGTTAGGATTAAGAGAGGAAGTGACATCAAAGTGGAAAGAATTTGGTTAATTGTATTAATTGTAGGTGTAGTAATGAATTGCCTTAGATAAAGAAAGAAGCAGAATGAAGTTTCTAGGGATAAAGAGTTGAACCTGGGTATAGCAAGTTAACTGCAAGGTGGGGTGGGAGTATCTCAGGTGCAATGGAATAGAAGGAGATTTAAGGCTCACCTTGACGTTAAGCAGAGAAGGGATAGGGACAGATGAGAAAGAATGAAAGTCAGTCATACAGGGATGGGGAAAAGGAAGCGGCAGGGTTGGCCTGAGAGGAGGAGGATTTGAGCTGAGATGCACAAAGCCAGGGGCATGTGTTGTACTTGTCAAACAGGAAGGGGCATATCTGGATCCCACCTACAAATTGGTGGTTCAGGAAGCAGGTAGGGATCATCATTCCTCTGAAGATGGAAGGTCTCCTTTAACAAGAGGTCTGAAATTACTACAAATCTCAGGTGGGCCAATCTGCAAGTGGAGAGCTCCAGAGCAGTGGTTCCCAAAATGCGGTCCCTAGAGAGAGCATCAGTATTACCTGGAACTTGTTAAAAATTCAAATTCTTGGGCCCCATCCCAGGCCTACAGAATCACAAACTCTGAAGTGGGTCCCAATAATCTGTGTCTTAACTGGTCTCCCTGGTGATTAAAGTTTGGAAACTACTGACAGGTGAAGCCAGCTGAACTTCTGGGTGGGGTGGAGACTTGGAGAACTTTTCTGTCTAGCTAATAGTTTGTAAATGCACCAATCAGCTCTCTGTGTCTAGCTAAAGGTTTGTAAATGCACCAATCAGCACTCTGTAAAAACACACCAATCAGTGCTCTGTGTCTAGCTAAATGTTTGTAAATGCACCAATCAGCACTCTATAAAAACAGACCAATTAGTGCTCTATAAAATGGACCAATCAGTGCTCTGTAAAATGGACCAATCAGCAGGACATGGGTGGGGCCTAATAAGGGAATAAAAGCTGGTCACCGGAGCCAGCAGGGGCAACCCGCTCTAGTCCCCTTCTACACTGTGGAAGCTTTGTTCTTTTGCTC